TTACCCAAGGGGGGCCTGGTTTTGGGGCCCCCCACAAAATTAAAGGGAAATTTTCCCTTTTTTTTTTTTTTTTTGAGCAGTATAGTTCACAGATATTGGTGACAAAACGCGGTCCACGCCGTGAATCATGAGGTTACCAAAGGGCCGAGTTAGTGAGGTCCGACCAGATCATAGGGTGGAGATTGTTTAGGTCAGAATTACATCTGGTACCTTTTATTCTGTTTTACTTCAATCAATAGCATTATCTATTGTTTCTAGTTATCCTTATCCTGCACACCCTTGCATTTGATCTTCAAAGACTCAATAACGCCCACTCTCTTTCCCATTAGGAGCTTTCGTTCTGCATCAGGAAGTGAGACGACAGAAAGTGTTACAGCGTTGGCTCTAAATCAACACATCCGTATCATGGAGATGTAGTAGACTCTCACTTCCTCCTCCGTTAGGACACTGGCTAAGGGAGCAACTGCCAGTTGTTTAACAACCAAGGCTGCAACACTTCCTGTCATCTCACTTCCTGATACAGAACGAAAGCTCCTAATGGAAAAGAAAGTGGGCGTTGTTGAGGTTTTGAAGATAAAATGCAAGGGTGTACGTGATAAGGATAACTAGAAATGACAGATAACGCTGTTCATGTTTAAGCAGTCAATCTTCATGAGGTTATTTTATTTAAGTTTTACAGTTCAAACCACATGTTAATATACACATTGTAAAAATAGTAAAAAACAACTATTTTTCTTACTGTCTTTTAAGACTAAGCTAACAGACTTTGCCTGTTTGGTTCTTTTTGCAGTTAAAGCTTGGGTACAAATTGGTATTTCCGGACACAGTGATTGCAATCGAATAGATGCAAAACGGTCCTGATTTTGGCACTATGGAAAATTTGTGTGCAGAACTAAAACCGTGTTTGAGAGCATGTCCCAAACCTGACTCAGTTGCATCAGTTCCATATTCAGGAATGGGACAAACGTCCAGCAAACTCTTGTGAGAAACTTCTGGAAGGAGACTCAAAACATTTGGTCCTGGTCATACAGCATAAAAGTAAATGCTTGTGAATTTATGAATTTGAACAAAGTAAACAAAAACAACTAATTATAGAACAGGAAACGGTTTGATTTATTGTCAGTGAGGAAAAAAAAAGTTGTTTGTTTTTTAGCATGTGTGAACACCTGGTTTCTTACAGTTAAGAAAAGAAGATCTTAAGTGGCTTAACAAATGCCTTTAATACCCCAACGACACAAACGCATCTCTGACTTTAATGAGTCTACACTGAACAAGCCAAAAGCACAAACTGCATCTTCCTCTGGCAGCTCGTTGTTTAGCCTCTTTTTGTCGGCATAAGAAGCTTTTCTGATTGAGCTGAGCTTAACCCGTCACCTCTGCATATTCTTAGTTCCCTGCATGTTTTCACTGCACCTTCATCCACAGTGTGATTCTTAACTAGCCGTTTTGTGACAACGCAGCAAGTGGAGGAAGTGGTCTTCTTACACTGAACTGCCTCTCACCTCCTGCTGCTTTTGGCCCACCCTTGGGAACTTTTGCTGGGGCTTGTGGAAGTGTATTGTGTGCCCATCTGCCGCCATCTTTTCCCGCCTTCTTAATAAGCTTCACTGTTTAGCTCAAAAGGGCAAACAACAGATGATTGGAGGGCAGTTGGGGGTGGCACGCTGCACAAACACCAGCAGTGAGGTCACAGGAGTCTGCTTTAATATGCATTGCAGGTGGCCTAAGGACAGAAGGAGTGTTTTTGTTAGATTTTGTTGGCATTTAAGTTTTTTATGTAATGGGATATTACTTTCACTTTTAGGTTGTGATGGGAAAACAATTTAAGATTTTTTTTTTTTTTTTTTTCATTTTTTTAATAGAGAAATATGGTGCAGTTCTGGTCAAAACATGGTCGTCTCACTTCTCTCTGTTTTAAGCTGAAATCTCACATTTCAGCTTAAAATATGCAAAATGTCCAAAATATGTCACTGTGCGTAACTATTTTTTTTCCCTAAGCAACGCATCTGCCTGTGGTTCAGTTGTTTTTATTGTGATGTTTTGTCATACCAGCACTTGTACTGTTTTTGATTTGGGTGTGATCCACAATGTTGTCGTGACGAAAATTACCCATAAATATGGTTGTAGACCAAAGGAAGTTTGAATATTTGCTAATGCAGTCCTTATATCGTTTTTTTTGTTTTGTTTTGTTTTATGAAGCTGCTATGATAGGAAAATGGTATGATGAGTTTTTTTTTATAATACAAAGCAAAAAAAGTATGCACAAACCCAGTATATTCAGAAATGCATTCGGAACTATAAAGACAAAAGAATTGATATAGGAATAGATGTACAGTGCTGTGTTTTTTTTGTTTGTTGTTTTTTTGAGTGCATTTTGCTATATTCATGTCTAAGTAGATTATGTATTTTTGTGTTTTCCTAGTTACTCTGTTTAGAAAGATGCAAGCCAGGCTGTAGTTTGTTCTGCCCTTAAGGTTCGTCAAACTGGGCTGCATGTGTGGTGTTGATATAAAACATAGGTGTGCCCAAACCCTCCATACTGCATCTTCCTGGTAATTGTTGCTATGTATTATTCTGGCAGGCTCTAGTCTTTTCTGTCTGAAGAATAAATCTATTTCTTTTGCCCTAACGTATAGATTAGAGGGACATTTAATTCTTTAATTTAGTTGCCACCAGAAATTCTTTGCTAACCAGAGGTTAAAGAGATTTTAGGGATCTTTGGGTCTTCTAAGACTCATTTGTTTTAATTGGCTCACCAGCTAAATGAATTAAACTGAGTTGAATAATTCAGGGGTCTTCAGCTCCACTTCACCTGTCCTGCTTACTTTGGATAAATCCCTGCTCCAGCACACCTGAATCAAATTAATAGTTAATGGGGAAGTAATTCAGCTTGAATGGCTTCTAGATTTTAAGTTTTAGGTACTGAACTGAACCTTAGACCACCTCAAGAAAAATTTCTGTAAAGGAGAATGTTTTCACTCTTTCATGGGTTTTTACATGCTCCAGTCAACAAACTGAAGGTATACCCCCAGTGGGGTGGATTACATTGTTTTTTTTTTCTTTTAATTCATGCTTTACACTTTTAACAATGTTCATTCTGTCTGAATTTGGATAAAACGTTGCTTTTCTTTTGTCTGTCGTTCTGAATACAGACAGACTACAATGCCGGTAGTCTCCGAATATTTCAGATTATTCTGAAAACTGAATTCATTTGTTAAAAACTAACTAAGCTGCTGGGAAACTTGTGGCTCTTGGAAAATGACTAATAATGTATTCAGCATATAGCAAGGATAGAAATGCATGCCAAAAGCCTCCCTGGCACAGTTATGAAGTCTAAAATACAGCTACACTGTTTTGGTAATTCAGATGCGGCTGCTTTATTTTGACTGCTGTCTGCTTGTGCCTACAGCCTGCATCTGATTGATGTTGAATTAAATTTAAAAAATAATTAATTCTAAAGAGAAATTAAAGGGTGTAACTCAGACTTAACAGCACCATTACCACTGTTTTGAAAGTAATTTATTTCAGGGTTAAGAAATATTCCCATAATCGTTAAAGCTTGCTTCTAATCTCTGTGCTATTCTGTAAATGTGGATATTTAGCTCTTTGTGTGTGAAGTTTCTGTTTTACAACATGTTTTGGTATATTATATTGACCTACATTTAGTTGAGATTATTTTCTCAATTGGTACAATAATGCCTGTAAATTACCCTTATTCCTTCCTAGATGCCAATATTTTTGTACTTCAAATGCTAAAACCTGCAAACTATTAAAGCTTAACTTAAGTTGTTTCTTTTATTGTTCTACCATTTTGGACAGCCACAGCTGCTTTCCTCTGTAAACTGCTTGCTTGGCAGCACACAAGTCCACTGACAGTGTGTGTTGTGAAGCACCAGAGATACTTTTTGCTCAGAGGAATGAAGCTCACTCTATTGTATTACGACAGTGGGCCGGGTTGGAATGTAACATAGCAAAGTAGATGGACTGTGGCTCATTGTCCAGGCTCCGTTTTTTTATGTATATATATTTTTTTTACACATGAGAATAAATAAGTGTTAATTGCAGGACAGCATGATGTCTCTCTAATTGAAATATGTGCATGCACTCATTTATTATTAGTCTTTTTTTCAGTTACACAGCTTATATTATAATCACTAAATGAATTGTAAGGAAATAATTTTTGGTTTAAAAAAAAAAGGTCATGTCATCTTCACTTACTTTTAATGAACTGATTAGTTTATGCATAAATTTACCAGACTAGATGAATACACATGCGTGATTGATGTGTGTGTGTGTGTTTTGCAGGTGTTCCTAGGTCACATCCTTATTTGATCAGGTGTTTTACTGCTATGCGAGACACAACTTTCTCTTTCTGCTGTTGGTTGTTTGAGCTGATGACTATCCACTGTTTACTCTTCAGCATACGTGTTCTTCCAGTTCATATAAAAAAAACTCAAAACATTTTGCCTATTTAAATTATTCATGTTATTGCATCAGACAGTGCTGTTGAATTTTAGTGTTGTTCTGTTGGTCACAAACATTAAATTAATTACTGACTGCTATTTTCATGTAGACGTTTTTACAAGGACTGACAGAAATAAAGTCATAGACGATGTGCTGACAAAGTGCCGCAGACAGAGGGCGCCACCTGCTCACAAGTCTAAATAAAAAAAATACTCCTGTATATTTAACATTTCGCCATCTGGTGGCAGCATAACATCTCCAGGTTGCTGCTGCTTCATGCTACGTGCAACATTGTCATAAGATGGCCATTTTTTTAAATGCCTAAATGGAAGAGGAAAAACAGAAAATAAGTTCACTACTTTGAGTTTTATCTTTTTGTTACTCTGTCACTACTCTTGTAATCCAGGTTGTTCCATGTTCAATAAATAAATACTTGCATATGGTACACGTGTTGTTCGTCACACTCACTCTTTTTGTGTTTGTGCTCAGATGCTGCAGGACTGTCCCAAGGCACGTAGGGAAGTGGAGCTGCACTGGAGGGCGTCCCCATGCGCCAATATTGTGCGCATCATTGATGTTTATGAGAACCTCTATCAGGGCAAGAAGTGTCTCCTTATTGTCATGGAGTGGTGAGTGCACAGTCTGTCTACACAGACCCTCATTCAACAGAGGTTCTCCTTTATAGATGGTGAAACACTTTGTGATTCAATTTATTCACTCATCAAAATGGCAATATTCTAAGATTTCTGTTCCTGTTTGAGCTGAAAATTCAAACATCTTCATATTATGTCTACATTATTTATCGTTCAGAGTGTCTACAGCTTCTTCTCCATGAGAGCAGCTTTAACTGGCTCCTCCCCACTCAGCCCTGTCCAGACTCAACTCCAGTTGCAGATCCTGCATGGCTCTTCTCTGCTACCTCTACCACTCTGGGGGGTAGAACAGGCCGCACCTTGCCATGTATCATTCGCAAGCTAATTTTATTGGCAGCAGACTGCATTTTGCAGGCGAAGGCTGGACCTTTCAAGATCCAAACAACAACGTCTGAACTACCACAGTGTGGTCTGGCGGATATGCCGTCTGCTATCAGAAAGCTGATAGTGTGGTAGGGCGTAATCAGAAGCAAAACCAGAAGCACATGCATCAACTTGTGCATGTTGATGCACAAGTTGATTTCGCTCCAGTTATTTCTGGAGCGAAATAACTGTGATTTCACATCCCTGCAAGCAACACATGACTCAGAAAAACGAGAATGCGACAAAAAGACGAGCAACTGTGCAGCTCTGGTTAACGTTCTGTCAGATCAAGCTTTGCACTGACTGACTTGAAACACCGGAACTTAGTTTGACGTGACTTGCGTTTTATTCTTTGTTTGGGTTTTCGTTTTCAATAATGTTCGTGCATGGATTTTGCACTGCATCGTTTGACTTCATCACCTGAATCTAAAGCATGCACACGTGCGTAAAAGTGAAAATAAAGTGCTGCAATATAGATAAATTTGTACATTTAGCAAAAACAATCAGCTAACCTGAATTGTTTTCATTATGTTTGGGCCAGATATGAATTTCTATAAGATAAAATGAAATATCTGGGTTTATTTGAGTCCATGCAAACCACAACCTCAAGGTTTTCAGTTGCTGAATGTTGCTGCTAACAACCTCATCGGAGCACCAACCACAGCTCCTGAGCTCTCATGGCTCGCCCACGTTCCTGCTCATAATCACAGCAGCAAAACGTTGAGGAACACGCTGCCAACGGCCACGCTAAATCTTCAGTAGAACCGAACCAGACATTCACCAGCTAGAGTTGAGCTTGACAATGGCAACTGGGCTTAAACTGTCATAACAAAATACAGGAAAATCTATTCTGGGTAAAATAAATCACATCCGTAACTCTTCCGACTTGCCCAACATTCCCTCCTTCATTGGAACCAAGGGTCAAGTTCATGTCATGCTTCATTCGCTAGAGTAAGAGTGGAAGTGGAAGCAATTTGTTTCCGTTTCTCAGAGATGTCAGGTTTTTGGCACTTTTCAAATATTATTATTTCAAATATTTTTCAATTTGTACTTTTTTGACTTCAATGACAATCTGACTCCTGATCCAGTTTCTTTTATTAGGATTTTTCTCATTTCTTTTTTAAGTTAAATATTTAAAATTAAAGAGTTGCAAGTTGATAATGAAGAAACAAAAACCCATCAATTTTCCTATTTTAGTTTATGTTCAAAGCATGTTTCAACAATTTAAAAGGACACCATTATGTAAAATAGACTGTTTTGAGCTTTACGTCATTTTGTCACAATATTCCCTCATAAAAAAACATTCTTGGAGTGTTGCTTTGATTTGAGAAATTTTTTAATCTCCAGTGGCAAAACAAGTAGTAGGTGCCTTTGAGGTGCAGCTCCTCCTCAGAGTTGCAGTTTCCTAGCATCCCTCTGCGCGACTTCCCCACTCTGCTCCTTTAAACTAGCCAGCAGCAATTAGCAAACACCTGGTGGAGCTGTACATCTGCTGAGCTCATATGAGCCACTTGTCAGTCAAATGCTTTTAAAAACGTTGTTAGACTTAGGAGAGAAGCCATGTTGTGATGAAGTCCTGAAGGTGGAGTTTTGGAAAGAACAGGCATTTATAAAGTAAATTACGAAGTCAAACATCTTCCAAGTCTTTTGATTTATATAGTATTTTCATAACAACTGAATGTAACGGAGGTACTTTATTGTGCTATAGAATAGCACTATGTGCCTGGAAAATGCATTATACTGCCCCTTCAAATCGTACATCAGAGAACTTTGACACACAAACTGATTTTTGCTCTATTTAGCTTTTCTCTTTCTTTCACCTCACACCTTTGCCAGCTTCTGTTTCGCTTTGCTTTGATGAATTTTCGCAGACGTCTTTAACATAACCCAAAATGACTTGCCAACTACCTGTACCCATCTGATTTGTTTCCATTGAACATTTTGGATTGTAATCACTTTTGAAAATCTACAATTTCAGAAGTCTAGATGGTATCAACAAGTTTCGTCACATTTTCGGTACCATCTTTGACGATTTTTTAATCTGAATAGAATTAGAACAACTTTGTCCACCAAGTGTTAGGTGGACGTCCACCGTCAGCTCCTCTTTCCTGTGGGTTGAGTTCAAAGTGGTTCTGACCGCACCAGTGAACCGGCAGGTCCACCTACTCTTATGCACTAATATGTTTATTATTACAGTTAATAAACATATTTCCTGCTACCTTAAGAACGTTAAGTTACTTACAGTGAGAGAATATCCTAAGAAATGTTAATTGAAAATCTAAAGCAAAATGTATCCAGTCTTTGTCTGAAATAATGACCGCTCACACAACATGTGGTCGGTGAATAAATCAGTTTGTACTACGTGCTATCGGAAGTGTCCTGCAGGCTGACTTACAAACCCAATTTTGATCATAAGTCATAAAAAGCCCAAGTCTGTTAGTCCTCATGCAATGTGATGCTGACCAAACGATCAGTGAGTCATTTATTCTTTTTATTTGTTTCGTTTTTACCCATTTAATGTTTCTACTTCCAGAAGGGATGTGCATGCTAAGTGTGATTAAAGCTTAGCATTTCATCTTTAGTCTGAAGTTCTTTTATCTTTGTTACAGGTCAGTGTGGTTTAATGTGCAGAGTAGGGCTGTCATAAATAAATATTTTAGTAGACGAGTAATCTATCGATTATTCTTATGATTAATCGAGTAATCAAATTAAAAAAAATTATCAAATAAAATATTGGTAAATCTGGCACAACACCGGTGTTACAATTGGATATCAATATCAGTCCAATTTTCATATTTAAGCATCCCTAATAGTTACTTCTCTGTAGATTAGAAAACTAACCTGTAACAATAATATATCACTTTCTAAGTTAACCTGAAGAAAAGTTATACAAAGATCTGAAATTCTATTCAATTTAATAATAGAGGCAGGCGCACAAATACACTTATAAGAAATGTCGATGATCCAGCTTTTTGTTTGTATTCAACTAACAGATGAACTCTCCCCTTGCCCCATACCTGTCGAGCTTTGAGTTTGACAATACGGGAAATGTGGGGGGCAGGCGAAGGAACAAATGAACGTAAGTTGGGGATCGAGGGGAGGAAATGGAACAGGGGACAGCCGAACGCAAGTCAGGGGGAGAAAGACGACCGGTAGACCAGGAGGAGCAATACGGGATATTTACGGCACCTTCGTTCGTCACACTCAAACTCCTCTACCAGCCATGTACCGCCACGATGCGCTCTGCCGCCCGTTTCTTCAGACCGGGATGATATGAAATTTATTGTGCGGTTCGTCCGTAAAGCTACACTTACACTGTAAGCATCAACTACTCAGCCGCCTGCCGTGTTCAGTCTATCCGCTCACCTGTATAAATACTCCTCAGCGCTCTTCCCGCTGTTCGCTCAAACCAGCAGCGCCCGGAGGAGAAAGGCTGCCGTACTCCAGGCATCGCACCATGATGCTTGTTGGTCCCCAAAAACGATGAAAACCCGGGCATTATCATCAATCCATAAAATCCCCACCGGCCGACTTGAAAACTGTATGTTATGCTGCTAACAGTTGGCATTTGTCAACAACTCAGAGGCGGAAGTCAGAGCTCCGCGCAACACAAATAATGTCTGCTGGAACACGGTATGCTAAATAATAAAACATAACTCAATGAAGCTTCGAGACAGGCAAATTTTCCTCGAGAAATTTTAATAATCGAGGTACTCGAATCATTTGAGGAATCGTTTCAGCCCTATAGTACTTTATATTGTGAACTTCCCAGAAATACATTGGATGTTGAATAAGTATGAAAATGAACTAAATAGCAGGAATCTGTCTGGTTAGCTAATTTTGCTACATTTATCTGTGAAAAACACACACACAGTAAAAACATGGCTTCAGCAACTTTGTATTTATTTGCATGATGTTTAACATATAAAAACTGAGGAAAGAAAGATCATAAGTTATGTGGAAAAATATTCTTTAATACAGACACTTTATATGTCAATGTCTTTTTCACAGGCTTATTATTTTACCATTTAAAGCTAATTTAATTTTATTTACTGATGGGGAGAGGCTGTTATGATAAATATTCATTTGTTCATAAGTGACTATTGTATCGGTAATGCATTGTGATGACTTTTCAGCTTAGTCTGATCCTCATGGTCCGAGTTGAATCATTTAATTCACAGTTCACTTTATTTTGCGAAGCTGTCATCATTGTAATGATTCAGTTTCTGTTTATTTGTACAGCCCACAGTTGCTAGTATTAAGAAGGCAAAGTTTAAGCCTACAAAGGTTAATTTTATTCAGCTTTTATTGTAAATTTACTCAGCATGACCTTGGTGCAAAATGACCCATTTCCTCTAAACAACTTACTGTCATTCCCTTTCCATTTCCACTTTGTTGCATTTTAAAACCGCCAAACCCCCATAAAGTTGTCACACGTGCATCCTTTTTGCTGTGTGGTTGTCCTCGCTGCGCAAAGGCAGACGTGTGAGCTGAGGTGCTCATGCAGTGGTGTAGCAAGTGATGAGTAATTTCCTTGAGAGATTCTGTGACAATTAAAGAAAAAGGTAGTTTTTCTTATGAAATCAAAACATTTCCTAGAATATTACACTTGG